ATCCGATCTCAATTGATCCGCGCTACGAGCCCTCTCCATCTTAGCCTCGGCCCTTGAGGCTTCCCTGTTCGCCCTCAAAGCTTCGACCTCGGCCCTTCTCCTCTGGCCCTCAAGTTTCTTTCATAAACGACCAATCTGTTTGATGGCGTCGCAATGGCGACGGCCCATAACGCCTATCCTTCCGACAGTCTGCAAAATAAGAATTTAAAACCACAACGTCAACAGTATTTGGATAAAGTGAAGCAAAGTCCGAATATGTACCAAAAGTGCCGATTGGGCGGCTAGTGCTGTCGCATTCAAATCTGGTTCCACCCGGAAAGCCTCCCTGTCAGACGGCAACGACACGGACGTAGCCAAGTTGAATGCGACCTCTGGATCTTTAAGCGCTGAAGCATCACAAGAAACCGGCATGTTTTTTACTGCCGACTGAATGACAAAAGGAATGATCACATTCGATCCCTCTAATCGAGGACGTTTGCCGCTTTGTTCTTTTGAGCCGGCCTCAAATTCGGCGGGGCGTTTCGCTGCCTCTTCCTCAACTTCTTGGCCGTCTTGCACGACCAAAGTGGATTCGGCATTCGAATTTTTTGTCGTCTCCACCTCAATAACGCACAAGGACTCTGATTTGCTAACTGGCAGGGAGAGTTGAGATCCAGTGGCGGGTGGTACTTCAGACAGAAGGGCCTCCGCTCTTTGCCGCGCGGCCAACCTTTTCGCATTCGCCTTCCTAGCAAGTTTTGTCAGGCTTAACCCGGCCAAGTCTTCGGGGCCTACGGCGGGGAGATCTTCTAAGTCGTGAAAAATGCCGTCAAGTGAAAGATCCCCTCGGCCCGAAGTGGATGGAGGATCGTCCGAATTCAATACCTCGTCAGACTCGGTTTCGTACTGATCTGATTCGATAACATTAGCTACATCCCGCTCCGAATCAGACCCTTCAAAACCAACTTGCCTCAAGTTTTTGGAGTCGGACAAAATAAAAGCAATAAGAGAATCTTCGCCCTCCGGAACCGGGATATTTTCCACCGCCAAGAAAGTCATATATGTCGGGTCGTAACGAAGCAGAACGTGGGCCGTCCTCCCTTGTTTATGAAGACTTCGATGGCCGAAATACTTGAGCACGACTTTGATATCCGAAAGAACGGCATCGTCAATCAAAGACAGGACTTTCTTCAAGTCGTTCCCTGCACAAGCCAAGCCATAACATTTCAAAGAAGAGGCTTTACAACAAAAATAAACAAATAATAAAAGCGAGAAGGCAATCGGCCACCTGGCTCACCCCTCCGTCTGGGAATAGGGTTGACGTGATCCTCCCCTTTGCCAAATTCCCAATTACCCTGGACAACGACCATAACATCATCAACTCATTTCCCAGAACTGGAAAGCATAGTAATTAGCTGATGGTTGATATCCTTGGTCCTAAGGAAGAAACGCCCGTGCCGACCAGAAGACTTAGCCAAGGCATAGCAATGCCGGATGGTTGGGATGCCAAGGTTAATTCTAAGGCGACAGTTGAGCGCTATAACCCCCATTATAATTCTAAAGAAATTCACATTGAATTGGAAAGGGATTAAACCCTAATGGCGAAGCACAGCCCTAAGAAAAGGGTGAAGGGGAAAACGGACTCCACCCTCTGCGATTGACAAAAGAGGAAAGACAATCGAGGTTTTGTCCTCCCTCTCCATATCAAGAGTGACATCTGCCACAAATGACAGACGGACATCATCAGGAATGGAGAAATGGCGTTTAAAGCCAGCAATTCGATCTGACGAAAAGAGGTCTTTTAAATGTTTCGCCATACCCTTCAGTTTATAAGAATATGCCAAGGAAGGAATAAACCAGAAAGAGTCTTCGAAGCAAGGAAGAAGAGAACTTACAAAGGACGAAGAGAATATCGGATAAGGGAGTTGCAGGGACGATTCAAAAGGCAATCCAACGACGAGCGTCACAAAATACATACTCGGAAGGACGTCAGAATTTTAAATCGCAATAAATAGATACGTACGAGGGGGCGGGAAGTCGACACGACAACCGAAAGGGGTGCGCTTAGATATCCGCATGAGGATGAGGCCAACCGCTGAATTTTGGCTCTGGCTTTTCGAAATTCGGAACCAAGCACTCCAGCCAACTGTCATTGGTAAAGTGCTTGGGGGGCAATTATGGGAGCCGAATAAATAGAATAGTCGGAAGGTGTGTACCCTAGAAATCAGACATTATTCGGCTCCATATTGCGGAACTAGGATGCTGAATATGTTAGGAAGGCCGAATATCTGGAGATCAATAGCTCCGAATAAATAAAAGAGGAATGAGATAAAAGTAGGCTCAGGCCCCAAGGCCCAAAAAGCAAGTATAAATATAAGAACCACAGATTTAGAAAGGTATCTAGGAATGACTTCATTTAACTTCACTACTACAAAAATAGTTAAAGATCACACTTTGACAAAAAAAAAAAAAAGATCTCACTTTTATTGGAAGTGTGATAAAAAAAATTACATTGATATTTTAATCACACTTAATTTGATTGAGTGTGATAATATTTATTTTTTATGTCACTTTTCAATTAAGTGTGATTATATATATATTTTTTTAATCACACCTTCTAATTAAAGTGTGATTATATCACTACTACAAAAACAGTTAAAGATCACACTTTGATAAATGAAAATATCTCACTTTTATTAGAAGTGTAATAAAAAAAATTAAATTGATATTTTAATTATACTTAATTTAATTGAGTGTGATCATATTTATTTTTTATGTCACTTTTTAATTAAGTGTGATTATTTATATATATATATATATTAACCACACTTTTTAATTAAATGTGATTATATGTATATTTTTAATTAAGTTTTGAAAAGAGTTTTGATTTATGTGTTTGGTTATGAGTTTTGAAAAGTAATGATTATATTTTGAATTGAGTTTTGAAAAATGGATGTAGAATTATGATTTGAAAGGTCAAAACAAACACCATACTTAAATCAATGGGTGGAACTATGACCACCACCACTACTGCCACTACTACTACCATTACCTCTTATCCACCATCACCACCACTCCACTACTGCAACTGCTACTACCATTACCTCTCCTCCACCACCGCCACTCTATCTCCTCTACCACTACTACAACTTCACCACTAATTTCCTTCGTCATCACCACCACCACCACCACCTCTTGTCCACCACATTCACCACTACTGCCACTCTTTCTTCTCTGCCACTCTCATTTTAGTAACAAAAAAAAAAGGACCGTAGAAAAATATTTTTCATTGACAAAAAAAAATTAACTTTATTTTTAATGGAAAATATTTTTCATTAAAATATTACCCTTACTTCAAAAAAAAAAAAAAAATCATTAAAATAAATATGAAACAAATAAATTTTTAACCTTAGTAACTAAAAAAATAAAATAAATTTTTTTTCATTACCCCTACTCATCACTCTTTGCCTTTATATCTATGTCTCTCTCTCTCTCTCTCTCTCTCTCTCTCTCTATCCCACACTGTGCTCGCGTTGCTCACTCTTTTCATCCCCTCTTATTGAATTATCGATGTCCCTCTTGATTATCGATCTCTTTTTTCTCTCTCTCTCTTTCTCTCTCTCTCTCTCTCTCTCTTCTTTCAATCGCTCATCTCTCATTTCTCTTAATCACTTGTCGAAAGAGAAAAAGGTCAAAAAATGAAATGGGCCTCTCTCTCTCTCTCTCACACACACTCATCACTATTCTCCCTAGCACTCTCATCTCTCTCTGCTCCCTATCTCTCTTGCTCATCTTTCTTTTCTCTCTCTCTCTCTCTCTCTCTCTATGTCTCTCTCTATATCTCTTGTTCATCTCTTTTTGCTATTTCTCTCTCTCTCTCTCTCTCTCTCTCTCTCTCTTTATCTATCTCTCGCTTATCTTGTTTCTCTCTTCTTTTTTTCTCTGTGTGCGTGTGCGTCTCTCTCTCTCTCACTCATCACTATTCTCTCTGGCTCTCTCATCTCTCTTGCTCATCTTTCTTCTCTCTCATTCTCTCTCTATATCTCTTGTTCATCTTTTTTTACTGTCTTTCTCTCTCTCACACTCATTTTGTTTCTCTTTTTTATTTTTATTTTTATTTCTCTCTCTCCTTCATCTCTCTTCTCTCTCAATCGTTCATTTCTCTCATTCACACTCATATTTTTCTCCTGAGCCCATTGTTGTTGAAAGAGAAAAAAGTCAAAAAATGAAATGGGTCTCTCTCTCTCTCTCTGTCTCTTTCTCTCTGTGTCTCTCGCTCATCTAGCTTTTCCCTCTCTTTCACTCATCTTTCTCAAAAAATGAGTTTACGTTGGTTTTTAAATAAAAATCTAAAAATTTGACTAACAATTTTTTTTAATTAATTGTTTTTAATTTCTTTTAAATAATTTTTTTCAAATAAAATTTTTTCAATTAATTTTTTTTCCAATTAAAATGTGCATGATCTCATTGTCATAAATAATAAAAAAATAAATATAAATATTTTAGACTTGGATAAAAATATTTTTTAGTTTATAATTTTAATTTTTTAAAATATTTTGTTCAAACGCATTTATAATTTATATTTTTTTAAAAAAGTAAATAAAAATTAATTTATAAAATTTTTGTAAACATAAATTAAAAATATAAATGTTATCAAACCGTACCTTAAATTTTCATTTGAGCCAGTTATGCTTGATGTGGCGAAAAAAAAAGCACAAAATCTGATTCCCGCTCATTTTTCCCCCCCTTAACCAAAAATCTCCAAATCTCAAATCCCTAATTTTTGAACCAAAAATCCCCATCATCTCTCTCGCGCGACTGTAAGCATGGCAGACGATGGCGTTGAGCGACTGGGTTAAGAAGCCTCACCCTTTTGTTTCTGTGCATAATACATGTTGATACCTCATAATACATGCATAATACTAAATTTGTAATATTTAATTCAACAAATTTACAAAATTAAACGGTTCTTATCATCAAAAATTAATTCTACATTGAGTCTACCAAACCTAAGAACTCCCATAATAAAATGATAAGTTAAGAAAAACCAAATCCAAAATTCAAAATCTACTTCAACACCTGACAAAAGCTCAAGCTAAAAAATATATAAACCGTCGGATCACCTAGAGATGATAAATCGACGGTCAAAAATCAAAGTTTGACTGAAGTACGAATTAGGTTGGAATGATTGGCTTTGATGACGACTTTGACCGTAGAAAAATTGAAAAAAACATGAGAGAGAGAGAGAGAGAGAGAGAGAGAGAGAGAGGGGGAAGCTGGTGGTGTTGTTGGTGCATTTGGGTACTTGCAAAACATTGGTAACAGTTATCTCACTGTTTTCATCATCAAAAAAGAAAATTAACACAGAATAAGCCACCTGTAATGGCGGATAGTAGCAGCTGGTATGCAAAGCGTTCCGGAGCAATTGTGGGTTGGTTTCGCAATAACGTGGTCTTTCGCAAGGCAGTTGTATTCATGACAGGTAATCTTCTATGTTCAAAGCATTTTTCTCTGTACAAAATCCGTATACAGAATAATGTGCCATTTTATTATCTAAAACATCATTGCCATATTATTTTGGATGAGTTTTTTTCATATGATAATTCTGTTGATCAAAGCCTTTGTTTTCTAGAAAACTTTTCTTTATATATTCCAATTGTGTTCTAATGAACTCGAATCCTTAGCTCTGCTTTTCAGCCACAGCTTAGTCGAGAAGGGAGTGGTTGGAATATTGATATCGTACCTGGAAGAGAAGTGGGACAAGGAAAATCTTACGAAAGTTGCTTCAGTAACGAACCTCCAAGACGGGTTATCAGCGGTTATGATGATTGTCATAGCCCACATTTCAGATACATGGACAGGTCGTTTTATGATGGTTGTGTATTCTACTGTTGCCTATGTTGTTGTAAGTTCTTTTATGTGATGTTCAATTTAGCAATTCAAATTTTCTTTTCCTCTCTTGGTTCCAAGTTTTAGTATTTTTTTATTTTTTTGTTTTTTCGGGCTTGGGGGTTTTAGTGACTTGAACATAGTCTCCATGATATTGTGTGGCTCTTACCTTTTTTTTTTTTTTTTGGTTTACTCGGTATTAGGTCCAGTGGACCAACTTATTGGGGGGAAAAAAAGACCTTAAGTTCTTGTTTTGCTAGTTACATTACATTAGAATTGACAAATAATAATCGTAATACAGGGATTCTGGCTATTATACCTCTCTGCCAAGTTCAAGTCTACTAATAATGTAGTCCTCTTTTTCTACTTGGCCATGGTGCCTATAGCTGCTGGCACAGCAGTGCGAGACCCCACTCTTCATGCATTTTTAGGTGATCAAATGCAAGAGACAAACCAAGAAGGTCTAAACCAAGAAGATCAAAACAATGCCGAGAAACGAGTTCAAGCCCGTGTAAAATTTTGGTCTCGGTTGAACAAGTTCTTGGGTGCCATTGTGGCTGTATTTATGTTTCGGAGATTTACTGTGGAAAGAGTCCTTTGAAATCTCAGCAATTGCAATGACTATTTCTGGGTTGCTGTTTTTATGTGGTTTTTCATTTTACCGCCACGTAAAACCAACTAGGAGCCCCATAACCGATGTATATTATGTCACTAAGGCTGCTATTTGGAAACGAAATCTAGACTACCCTGCTACTAATGACAAGGGTGAATTACAACTTTCGCCTCCTATTGCACTACTCAGGTGCTCTCTCTCTCTCTCTCTCTCTCTCTCTCTCCATTGCTGTTTTGAAACATATTTGTTTATGTTTACAAAAGTTCTGAAAACTAGAAACCAAACTTGCTTTGTAGTGTCTATTTTTGTTTTAAGAATGGAAACTAGTATTCATATATAATTTACTAAATTTTAGAAAAAAGATGATTTCCAATGTTTTGTAATCAACTTTTCATTCCTTCTCCCCACCTCCGTCTAGTCTTCCCACCTCTAACTATCAAAAACAATCTCCATTATGTATTACCAATAAATTAATGTAAAGCATGAAAAATAATGAGGCTACTAAACCAATACATTGGTGAGGTATTCAAAATTAGTTACCCATGTTATTGATTACAAAATTTTTAATTTGTTTGAATCAAAAAAAAAAACAAAAACAAAAACAAAAACAAAATTTTTAATTTGTTTTCTATCACGCTTCCTAAACGAAGGTGGTTAGATAAAGCTGCCATTGACGAAACATCCAACTCGTATATGAGTAGTCCAGAAGAACAAGAAAGCAGAGGAATGCTCTGTCCAGTGGCACAAGTGACAAAAGTGAAGCTTCTTTTAACAATGGCACCTATGTGGATTACTTTTTTCAACTACTGTCTTGTCGTTGCAACAGGAAGTACTTTCTTTCTCCTACAAATTAGTACTGTGGATGATAAGGTTAATCTTACGTTTTTTTCGATAATCCGTTCATTCTCAAGTTTCATGGCCTCGTTTCTATATGAACTACTAGTCCCGAGGCTGTGGACTGAAACACAGCAAAAGCGTGCTTGGAAAGTGAGGATTGGTGTTGGAATATTGTGCTCTTTTCTATCCTGCGCTGTTGCTCGATTTGTCGAAATTTACAGGTTGAAACTTTACGAGGACAATAAACGGAAAAAAATTATTCCCATGAGTGTCTTTTGGTTTATTCCACAGTTCTGCCTTTTGGGATTCATGGAAGGACTTTGTGAAGATGGGCTTGTGGATTTCTATCATCAACAAGTACCTGAATCCATGAAGGCCTATGGGCCACCATTTAATCAGTGGGTATTGGGAATGGGGAATTTTGTTAGCATATTATGGATTTTAACATTCAAGCCGTGGTTTGGTGACAACATAAATAACAGTCGATTGGACAACTACTATGCAATTCTGGCCATAGCAAGTATTGCGAACCTATTTGTCTACCGCTTTGTCTCCAATATGCCAATCTACAATATTGATCAAGTTACAGAGAAGGATGTGCAATTGCAGGAAATCTTGGCAGACAGCGACAACAATCCTGTATCCACGTCCTTCATTCCTCCGAGCCACCCTTCAAGTACAACTTCAACCCAAAGAATTATAGCTTCTACATCCTTTCCAGATCAATCTCGCAACACTGGGAACGTGGTTGAGAAGAAACTCAGTCATCAAAAGACAATGTGAAGTGTTCGCAGTGATGAAGCAAACTTCAAAACCACAAAACCATGTTTTGTATATGTAATGTTATGAATGCATCTGTATAAGAACCAGGGTTCATACAATCAGTTCTAAATTTGTTTGAAAAAATAATTTTGACTTTTATTATTTTGAGAGTTATAATTTCATGCATGCAATGGTGATTAATAAGGTTTTTATTTTGCAATTAGTTATAGAAGAATAATATGTCATTCGTGACTGGAACGAAACCAGGAGAAGATGGACCCCTGCTTCTGGTACTACCACAAAGAACCGACATTTTCTCATATTCGTTTCCCATTTACATGTAAAAGAAGAACATAGTTATGTTGAAATCATGACTTCCAGAATATTCGTAATTTGGATTTGCATAATATATAACACTAATTTTTATAATATTTTTCACATATATAACACTAACTAATTTCATATATATACTGATTTACAATAAATTTCACATCTTAGATTTTGTTCACACTGATTTTAATTAGATATTTCATTGAAGTTAAAAAAAAACATATGTATTAACTATAGTGGAGTAGGGAGGTTTCAAAATAAGACTATAAATTTTAAATTGCGGATAAAACTAACCCGCTATTAACGAGCGATTCAGCATAGATTTAATTTCAATCCAAACCATGCGTGTTTCGCATTTCATGTTTATCACGTTTCTCTTTTGGTTAACTCCACACTTCTTCCTTTTGGGATTCATGGAAGGACTTTGTGAAGATGGGCTTATGGATTTCTATGATCAACAAGTACCTGAATCCATGGACTATGGGCCACCATTTAATCAGTGGGTATTGGGAATGGGGAATTTTGTAAGCATCTTATGGATTTTTACGTTAAACCTGTGGTTTGGTGATGACATAAATGTTGGGGAATGTTGGGGAATTTTCAAAATTTGTAGTTTAATTTTTGGATATTTTCAAAACATTCCATGTTTTTCTTTAGAAAGCTTGAAATAAGCTTGGGGACTTCGTCCCACATCAGAAAGAGAGGAAAACATAGAGCACTTAATAAAGTGCTACATAAAATATTCCTTTGAATGTGGAATTGTGAGGTGAAGCACGTGGCAGTAGGCTGTGTGGCGTTTGATGGCGCACTTTGCACAGACTCATTGCCATGAGGGCGCTTTCCTATTTGCATTGAACAGGTTGGAGCGGTGACGTGGAATACACCAACCGATCAAACGGTTGCATGTCCAATCTGGAGCGGTTTGATCATAGTCGTTGATTGGAGATGCGCGCAATTGTATGGATGAGATGGCACCCGATCGTGATCAGGTGAGATTAGTCAAGGCATCTATTCGACAGGCTTATAAATAGGTTGCGAAATCGAGCCATTTCAATCCATCCAAAAGTCAGAAAACATTCCTGCAATTCTCTCTTTCTCTCCCTCTTGATTTAGAGTTTCGTAAGCAAATTTTTGCTTTTCTTATTAGTAATCAAGTTTTGCAGATTTGATTACTAGTGTCTTGATTTTTTTGATTTTATCAAGAGTATTCTGATCTACTGTCGTTAGTGCAGATGCTGGTAGACTTGATCTTTAGATCAGGTTTCATTGTATCCTGGAGGTGAATTTGCTGTAACCCCCTGCATACCTTTTGGTGGGTGCAAATATTGTCTTTAGGAAGGAGACAAAGTAACGCAACTTGAAGCACCAAATTTATGTTCTGCATAGACCAGATCATCGCGAAGTTTTGAAGATCTGAAGACCACCAACTGAAGAATTCAAGACGAATTGTTCCAAAAATAAATGAGAGTCAATTGGATAACTACTATGCAATTCTAGCTATAGTAAGTCTTGGCAATCAATTTGTGTATCATTATGTCTCCCATATGACAATCTACAAGAAACATGAAGAAAATAGGATGCCAATAAAAAAGAAAGGTGAAGAAAATGGTGAGGAATTGCAAGCATTTAACAGTGTTAAAATCATGTATTATTGATTGATATATTGATTGATGTGTTACAAGATTGTTATGTTGTTGATTTGTATGTTACAAGCTATTATATAGAAGAGGTGTGAGGTAAGTGAGTGGTGGTAGTGGATGGTAGTGGAGGTGGTGGGTGGTAGTGGAGATGGTAAGTGTGTTAGGTTTAGTGGGGTGGATGTAGTGGGTTAGGTTAGTGGGTTAGGTTTAGTGTACATTAACAGCCCCCCTCAAACTCAAGGAGGATAGGAACTAACCAACTTGAGTTTGAAGAGAGTAACAAAACAGAAAAGTAAACTGATAAATAAAAAACAAAACAGGATAGGAGACACGGTATGGTCGTGTCGGACTCTAATTTATTTTTATAATCTCAAACAAACTCTTAGCTATCAATTTCTCAAAACTCTAAAAAGTTTGTTCTCATCGGCTAACCATCTATCTACCTTTGTCAGAGACTCTCTATTGCTTACACCATACTATTCAGGTTTGTACGAATACAACGTACTTGCTCTTTGAATATTGGTAGGCCTCAACAAAAAACATATAATTTTCTTCAATATTGTGATTGTGATTGGTTGGTTTTTTTTCCCCATAGAATGTTATGAGTTTTTTTTTTCTTTGTCTTTAGAACTATTGCTTTCGTTATTAATACTAGATGCTAGATGTGTCTACCTTTATTGTTGCCCCTTTGTGTGTTGCTTTGTTTAGTCTCTACAGTTTATATATTATTATTTTTTTTGACATCAATAAATTGAACAATAAAATATATAAATAAATTAATACAAAATATTCTAAAATTAATGAATGACTAGATTTAAGTTTTTTTATTGTTTAACTTTTATTTCATATTTTCAAAACTAAGAACAATAATGTTACATCTATCATATTGTTATACTGTATTATATTTATCATTTTATTTGTCAACAACATATTGTTGTAATGATGAATTTTGTGGAATAAAAAAAGGTGAATCTTAATTCTTTCAATTGGTCAATTGGTAATTGCTCTTTGTCAATTTTTTCTCTGCCATTGAATGTTAGGTTGTTTTAAGGTTAGAAACATTGTTTTTTTAATCAAAATGCATTATGTTCTAGAGAATATATTATGCTACTTCAAAATTAGAGAAGATAATTCTAAAAAATTTAATAGTAAAACTTAGCATCTTATTAGATAAGTAGAATAAAAAATTTTAAACAAAGACTAATATTTTTTTTTTTTTTTTTTTACAGTGACATCTATATAAATTTTATGTCATGACAATCTCAAAAAATCTTACCTTACTTTTGTATTTGTTCTCAATTTTTTAGATTTGTTGGTGTTAAAATGGAGAATGGTGGACATGAGGGTTGTAACAAAGATATGGGGGAGTTGTCCAAAGATAAAACACCATGTCTTGGCATGAAATTTCATTAAGAGGAAGTCACATATCAATTCTATAATGAATATGGAAGGATTATGGGGTTTGGCATTAGAAGAGATTACCATAGCAAAAGTAGAAAAGATAGTGTTATGATTAACATGAAGTTTGTTTGTTATAAGGAGAGAGAAAAAGAAAAAGATAAACGGTACATGATTGTAAATCATCCTAAACATGAGACAAGAACAAAGTGCAATGTATTTATGTATGCATCTTTGGATCGAGACTTGTCAAAGTGGATAGTGAAAAAGTTTGATGACAACCACAACCATCCTTTGCATCTTCCTCAGTGCACACATTTGATACCATCTCAACGAAAGTTATGTGAGGCTCAAGCTTTGAATGTTGATATAACTGATGATACTGGTATCTCTCTTAAAGCATCACATGATCTCATTAGTGCCTTAGCAGGGGGGAAAGAAAATTTGGGATTCACGAGAGAAGACCAAAAAAGCTACTTGCGTCGAAAAAGACAACGAAATTTGCAATACGGAGAAGCTGCGAGTTTATTAAGATGTTTTCAGCAACAAGCAGCTGAAAATCCATATTTTTACTATGCAATTCAATTGGATGTGGATGAGATGATTACTAATAGTTTTTGGGCTGACCATGAGATGATTACAGATTATGAACTTTTTGGTGATGCCGTATCATTCAACACAACATTTCGCACAAATAAGGAGTATCGGCCACTAACTTTATTTACTGGCTTTAACCACTTTAGAAAGACAGTGATTTTTTTGTGCCTCATTATTATATGATGAAACTACAATTTCATTTGAGTGGTTATTTGAAACCTTCTTGCATGCAATGTCAGGGAAAGAACCTACTAGTTTTTTCACAGACCAAGATCAGGCAATTACTAAGGCAATATCTGAAGTCATGCCTAAGGTTTTCCATGAATTATGCACTTTTCACCTAATACAAAATGCTTTGAAGCATTTAGGGTACTTGTATAAGAGTGGTTCAAAATCTGGTAGTGATTTCAAAGCTTGTATTTTTGGATGCGAGGATGAACACGAGTTAATTGAAGCTTGGGATTCTTTAATTGATAAATACAACTTGTATGAGAATGCGTGGATGAAGAAGACTTGGGAAAAAAGAGAGCAATGGACGTATGTATACATGAAATACTAGTTCACTGTGGGAATGCGAAGCACCCAACTTAGTGAAAGCCTGAACGCAACATTAAAGAGGTATTTGCAAGCTGATCATAATATTGTTCAATTTTTTACCCACTTCAATCGGATTGTTGTATGAAGAAGTAAAAGCTATATATAATTCTAGACAACAATTGCCGAGAATGAAATTGAAAAGGCCTCCAATTTTGAACCAAGTTGCGAATTTGTACACCCCTCTTATCTTTGACTTATTTCATAATGAGTTGGATATGTCTCTTTCTTGTTGAGTGAAGCAATGCCATGAGTTAGAAGGAAAAGTTCGGTACATGATTAGCTTGTATGGTGATGATAGAGAGTATATTGTGGAGGGTAATATGGAAGTCAATGAGTTAGGAGGAGGGTCAAAAAATTCGTTGCACTTGTCAAAAGTTTGAAAACATTGGAATTTTTTGTGGTCATGTAAGTAAAGCACTTGATAGAATGAATGTTATGGAAATTCCTGAGAGATACATATTAGGTTGATAGAGATTAGATGCCAAGAGTGGTGAAATTAAGGGAGAAAAAGTTGAAGTGGATGAGAATGATCCCAAGTTAGAGACATCAGCACGTTATAGGGATCTTTGTCCTAGGATGGTAAAGCTAGCAACTCAAGCA